CCCTGGCAACCACCGATGGTTCTGGTGTGTCTCTAGTTCTCCGAACTTAATTTTAAAAGCATTTAAAAATGTAGCTAATTAAATCGTTTGGCACTCGCTAAGTTTTTCACATTGAAAACGACGAAACTTCCAGCTTTCACTTTGTTGTTTTCATCCTCGCCATCTTCAATCACGGGGGACCGAAATAAAAATTGTAAATTTAAAATCTATCAAACTCCCCAAACTAAGTACATGCAAAGGAGATGTAAATATATTTTCATACGCTGATTCTGGGGAGTTTGTAGCGTTCACACCTCCCCAGTTACTAAAACAGAGAACTGGGCGCAGACGTCTGGAACGCTCTGTGTTCAGGAAAGGAGAACGCAGTGGATTCCGCAGGCCAGAAACGGCTTCCGTGGGATGATGTGGAAAGCTGAGACGTCAGAGGATGGGGTGAGAGCCAGCAGGGAGGACATTCCTGGCGAAGAAGCTGTGTGAGCCACAGAGGGATGGCTTGGGCTGCCCCTGGGGAAATGGCTGGCATTTTGGCGAGAAGTGGGGCCGGAGGAGTAAAAGTGGTCACAGAGGTCACCGAAAAGAGTGTCAGGATTGGTGCTCGCCTGGGCCCTAGGGAGCCATCGAAGGTGTCAGAGGAGCAGAGCGGCCCAGTCTGAACTGTAAGGGGAAAGGACCATAAGATGTGTAGCCGAGAAACCACGAGAGTCGATCCTGTGCAGGTGTGACTTTCCTCTCCTTCCAGGCACATGCGACTGAACACGCTCCCTACACCTTTTTGGATATGACTGATTCTTGCAATGGAAGGTCATTTCTGGGTGGAAGCATTTCAGAACCAGTGTATAAATCACGCTATCTTTATATATATATATATAATTTTTATTTTTGAAAGAGAGAGCATGAGCGGGCAGGGGAAGGGGGGAGAGAGAGAGAGAGAGAGAGAGACCCAGAATTGGAAGCTCCAGGCTCTGAGCTGTCAGCAGAGCCTGATACGGGGCCCAATCCCATGGACCACGAGTTCATGACCTGAGCCCAAATCAAGAGTTGGACGCTCAACTGACTGAGCCCACCAGGCACCCCCAAATCACACTGTCCTTTTTAAAAAATTTTTTTATGTTTGTTTATTTTTGAGAGATAGAGACAGAGCATGAGTCGGGGAGGGGCAGAGAGAGGGAGGGGACACAGAATCTGAAGCAGGCTCCAGGCTCCGAGCTGAAAGCACAGAGCCTGATGTGGGGCTCGAAACCACGAACCGGGAGATCATGACCTGAGCCCCCCAGGCGCCCCCAAATCACATGATCTTTAAAGCCTGTGCTGAGGCCGTGCCAACCTGAGGTGGTGGGGGCCCCGTCCTCTGTATCCCCGAGGAACTACAACAAGCAGGTGTCTGCCAGTGAAGCTGTACCAGTAACAGGAGCAAACACTAAACCGCCGCCTCGAGCCTCTGTGGTCTGGGGGGTGTTTGTGCAGCGCGGCTGGCGAGGGCCGGGATGAAGGCAGCAGCCTGACAATATCGTGCAGGAGCAGCTGTCTGTTGCTGCCCTGAACTTGAGGGCTTAAAACAACTAAAGTTTATTTGGCTTCTGAGCCTGTGGGTTGGCTGGATGGTCCTTCGGGACTCCCGCATCTGTGGTCACCTGTGGGTCTGGGGAGGTGGCTCTGCCCCACGTCTCACCTTCCGTGGACCAGGCCAGGGATGTTCTCCTAGTGATGACAGAGGGGCAAGAGAAGGCAGAAACGGGCAAATGTCCATTTTCTGTTAGGTCGCAACGCCCAACACATCGCGTTAGCAAAGTAAGTGACGTGCCTGAGTACAGAGTCCAGGGACCAGAAGGTGCTGCCCACAGTGAGAGGGCACAGGCCCAGAGAGGGGTGACGAACTGGGGCATCTGGGCCACTTGGCCATCAAGTCACGCAGAGGTGAATCCACGGGACTTGATGCCTGATCGGATATGAAGGGAGACATCATGAATATTTCCGGCAATGGCCACCAATCTTTACTGCCATCTCTTTTACACACCTGCCACTCTACCCATCAAGATGTGGCCTCTGTTTCTCTGCCCTTTGTAGCTAGTCTGTCCTTGTGACTTGACTTGACCAGTAGTGTGAGGAAGTGACTCTGTGCCAGTTCTCAGCCTTGTCAAGCTGCCACGGAAAGGTGCTCAGGCTAGACCACTGAATGAGGAGAGAGCGTGTAGAGATAGAGTGGCCATGTGGAAGGAAACTGAGGCACACCTGAGAATCTTCTACTCAATTCCCCCCTGAATGATGCCACATGAGTGAGCCTCAATAAAACCAGAGGACTGGGGGAAATGATAAACTGTTGTTGTTTTAACCACTGTATATATTTGAGGTGGCTTGTTACGCAGCGGTTGATAACTGATACAAGGGAGATGGTGAGAAGGAAGCAAGGCTGATGGTAAGATTTTGGACTCAGGTTCGTAGTGCAGTGGTGGTGCTGTTTTCTGGGCTCGCACCTCCAGAAGGAGGGACTGGTTTGAGGACAAAGTTGTGGATAGAAATGTTATGCCTGAGGGACACCCATGAAATAAAATCCATCAGGTGTCAACGGGGAGACGCATGTCTGAACTTGAGAAGAAACGAGCTGGGGACTGGAGAATGCTTCCTACTGGATGGTGAATGATGCCATCGGCACGAAGCTGGTCACCCTGGAATATTGTGGAAAGTGTGACTAGAAGTGGGCCAAGAACCGAGTCTTGAGGTGGACTCCTGCACAGAAGTGGCTCTCAAGCTTTAGTGGATAGAATTACTACCTCGTGAGAGGGCAAAGATGGAGATTTCCTGGCCCAGCCCTTGCAGCTTTTGATTCAGGTCAGGATGCGCCTGGGAATCTGCTTTGCAGCCTAGTTTCTGCCCCTCTGCTCCCACACCCACAGATGGAAAATTCCATCCCAGGTGAGACAGGAGTTTGGGGCGAGGAGGAGATAGGCCTGGAGCAAAGCCGAGAGATTTATTTGATTTAACTTAAAAAACTTTATTTTAAGAGAGGGAGGGGGAGGGGGAGGGGAGAGGGGGAGGGAGAGAGAGAGAGAGAGGGAGAGAAAATCTCAAGAAGGCTCCATGCTCAGCACAGAGCCCGATGCCGGTTGCTATCTCAAGAACCATGAGATCATGACCTAAGTCGCAATCAAGAATTGGACACTTGGCCAAGTGTCACAACCCAGGCGCCCCCTGATTTTACTTTTTAGTGTGCAGGGAGATCATTTCTGTAGCCTGGTGGTGAGGAACCAGTAGCGAGAGAGGGGTTGAAGAATGGAAGACCTTTCTTCCCTGCCCCCAAGGAAAGACTCGGTGGGTGGGTAAGGAGAGAAAGAAGAGGCCTATGAAGCGCAGTGCTGCTGAAAACAGCCAGAAGGAACGTGCTGGAAATGTCTTGGGCGATGTCAGTAAAGAAGATCTGAAGTTGGGGGCTGGCCTCAGGCCTCCACTGTGTGGCTGAGGGGAAAAGAGCCAGAGTAGAGTGGAGCCTGCTGGCTGGGAGACCCGGGGCAAGCGTCTTCACTTCTCTGCGCCTTACTTGATTCTGTGAAAGAGGACTTGGCATCCCACCTCCCAACGCGTGGCATCGTGGTCAAGAGCCCAGGCCCTACTCCACTGGAAGGCCAGCTGTGCAGCCTACTGGCTCTAAGACCCCGGCAAGTCCTTCTCTGTGACCTCGTCTTCCCTGCAGACTAGAGATCCCAACAGTCCCTGCCTAAAAGTCGTAATCCCTATATGACTTCTGGGTTTGTTTATACTGTTCGTCCAGTCTCAGACCCCGCTCGTCGCTGCCACCACCCTGTCCTAATCTGGGTGTCTCCTGCTCAGCCTGAAGGAACCCTTCCCTGGCTCTCTCGCCTGGTTGTCTTCTGCCATCACATTTATAATACTGTAATTCCCTGCTCTGTTGCCCACTGTCCCAACCAGGCGAGGTGACCTGAATCAGGGCAGTTTGGTGGCACCAGCACCTTGCACAGAGTCACTTGGCATCGTATGTTACGGATGACCGTGCAGGCTCTGGAGCCCGGAGGCTGAGGTTCATTCCTCTGGCTTCCTCTGTCTCCCTCACATTGAGCTGTGTGACCTCAGGAAGGTAGTTAAATCATTTTTGACCAACAGCTTTTCTCCTTCAAAGGCACAATTTTGGAAACACAAGTGTAATGGATTGAGGCAATAATGATGCTAAAACCACTTTACTTCAAGCTAAAACCAAAGCTTGATGAACAGGATAGTCACATGATCTCAATGAGGGGGGGGGGTGACGTCACCTTGGCCAAGTGCCCAAGGTCTCACATTACCAACAATGGGGCCTGCTGGCATTCTGGACATCCCATTGTGATACAACAATAGAGCACATTACTCAAGTATGTTCTGCCGAAAACTGCTAACATCAATCTAATCATGAGGGCAGGGGACCAGACCAATCAAAATGGTGGGTTTTCTGTAAGGCAATTGGCCTGGACTATTGAAATTTATCAATGTCCTAACAGACAATGTCCTAAAAGGACAAGGTGGGAAGGAGGAAGGCTGTTCTTTATTTGAAAAGACTAATGGGGCGCCTGGGTTGCTTAGTCTGTTAAGTGTCTTCCTCTTGATTTCGGCTCAACCCACGCTCTCACAGCTGAGGAGTTCCAGCCCCAGATGGGGCTCAGTGAGGAGCCTGCTTGGGATTCCCCCCACCCTGCTTCATGAGGATGTTGGGGGGGGGGTTCAAACTTAAAAAAAAAAAATTTAATGAAATAAAAATCAAAAATATTTTAAAGGAGACTAAAGAGAATAAAGGTAAGACTTTTGATTGGATCCAGGATGGGGGTGTGGAGGGGAAGTCTTATTTGGGACCACTGATTAAATGGGTCTTAAATTTGAATATAAAGTTTATGTTCTCTAACAACTTGGCGTCAGTATTTCTTGGGTATGAAATGGCACTGAGATCCCGTAGGATAATGCCGTTGTTCGCGGGAGAAACACGCTGAAGAATTTCTGAAAGATCTCCCACAGCTTAGAGCGCCCAGCGGCGCCTACAAGATCTGCGCATGCGCCCAGCCCATTTTCTGAGACTTCCTTCGCGCGGGTGGAGAGCCAGATTGGGCGCCAGGAGGCGGAAATACGAAAGGGCGGGTTCCGGTGACCCGCGGAGACGACGAAGACAGCCGGAATGGAGGAGGTGCCTCAGGGTGAGCGCCCGGAGGGGGCATGGATGGGGGGGATGGAGGGACACGAAGCCCTCTTACTGTGACCTTCTCCCCGCGCAGGCTGTCCCGGGACCGGCAGCGCCCAGGCGGGCCGAGGGGCCTCATGTCAGGGGTGCCCCAACCAGCGGCTCTGCGCGTCTGGAGCCGGCGCAGCTCCGGACCCAGGTGAGGAAGGGGCGAGACCTGAACCGGAAGTGAAGGGCACCAGCCGGGAAGAGGTGGGGCGTGAGGGGATAGCGGATGATTGATGGTGGTGAGGGACGGCCCAAAGGTTGGGTGACAGAGGCGGGACCTGGAGCCCTGTTAGAAGGGGTGGTCCGAGCGGGGGCGGGGCGTGGAAAAGTCAAGGGCGGGGCCTTTAGTCGGGAGAGTAGCGGGATGGGGCGGAGCCTGAAGGGTCTGGTGACAGGCGGGGAGTCCAAAGAGATCCTAACTGGGGCGGAAACCTGGGCGGGGCTGGAGGTTTGAGTGACAATGACCGGCAGTGGTCGGGAGGAGGCCATCAGCCCCGAGAGTAGGGTGTAGACTTTGACCTCGGGGGTGGGGGTGGAACTCGGGCTTACTTTTTGGACAAAATCGTCTTCTTTTGGAAAAAGCGATTTTCACAGTCACGTAACAGGAATGTGTATTAATCATCTCGTGGGTGTTGTGTAATAGGCAAGACCCACAGTGAGCAGGCAAGCAAAAAGGTAAACCGTCACAGCAGTCGGTAGGGACGCACTGGAGGGTGGGGAGGACTTTAAAAAGCAGGAATATGGGAGAATTTCGAAGGCGTTCAAACAGAGACTTAGGTTTGATTCTTGGGTCCCACAAACAGTATGACCTTGAGCGAGAGTCTTAACTTCTCTGAGCCTCCAGTTTTCTCCCCAAAAACAGGCAAGGGGAACCAGGGCCTGCGACTCTTGATCTGGGGGTCACGAGTTCAAGCCCCACGTTGGGCTTGGAGCCTCCTTTTCAAATAAGTGTGTGTAGGGGGACTTGTTCTCTCATGGTGGTTTTTAAGGATTTGAAGGAAGGTGAGACCTTGAAGGTGTAGCAGGTGTGTAATATGTGACCGTCATCAGTCACTGGTCCTCATAAGTGCCTGCTGTTGGTCAGCGTTTCTGCACCTTGACACTACTGACCTTTGGATGTGGATAATTTGGGGTGGGGGACTGTTCTGAGCACCGTTAGACATCTCACAGCGTTGCGCCCTCTACGTGCCACATGCCAGCGGCACCCCTTCCTTGTACCCCTCAGAAACGTCCCCAGGCAGTCGGGCCCCGGGTTGGGAAGTGTTACTGTGCGGAAGCTCTTCCACAGCTGGGGGTGTCGCAGTGGCTACTGCAGTCTTTGTCCTGGAGCTTCTGTTCTGGAGGGGGACGCAGACCAGGCAGCCAACGAACGAGAAGATCTCAGATACGACAGTTGCCTTAGTTTCTCAGTAGTCCGTATTGCCTCCATTGGCTAGGCTGTGTTTCACCCGCAGTGCCTTGAAACAGCCCTAGGGGCTTAGCTCCTGCGCGTCCATGCCTTCAGGGGCTTCATCTGCCGATGTGCTTCCTTTGCAGCCATAGAAGAAATCAAAGAAAAACTGAAGACCGTGAAACACAAAATCTTGGTGTTATCTGGGAAAGGTGGCGTCGGGAAAAGCACGCTGAGCGCCCACCTCGCCCACGGCCTGGCAGAGGACGGAAACACGCAGGTGGGGCCTGGGGCAGAACTGGGCGGGGCTCCTGTGGGAGGGTCTGAGAGGGTTGCAGACAACGGTGTCTTTAGACTGAGCGGAACTGGCTTCCTGGGAACCCAGCTCCTTGCAGGGGCGGAGGAAGCACCAGCTGCTGAGCTGTGAAATGACATACTTGCTTAGGTTCTCCAGCTGCGAAAATGGATGGACTTCTTTCTATTAGCCCTTTTCTGCCTATTTCTAGGCCAGGGGTCTACCGACTATAGCCCAAGGGCAAATTCTGTCCCTCTCTGGTCTTCTTAGGGCCTGTGAGCTAGAATGGTTTTTAATTTAGAAATGGTTGCCTTTAAATTGTTAGATCGCTTCTTTGGTTTTGCCCACAAAGGCTAAAATGATCCTTGGATTCCTAGCAGGGCTGTGACCTGCGGGGTTCCACTTCTGGGTGTATTTTCTCTTCCTTAGAAGTTTTTTGTAACCTCTTTTACTCTAGCTTACCGTGGCATAAGAACATAGCTATAATGTAGCAGACGAGTAAGTGCTGACTATTACCGGTAAGCTTCCAGTAAACAATTGGCTCTGGGTACTTAAATGGGGGGGCGGGGGCGGTCACAGGTCACGTATGGAGTTTTCGACTACTCAAAGGTCCGCTGTATTTTCTATTCGGCCCTTGAGGAAGAAAACCTCTGCCAGCCCCTGAACTGGGCTGCTCGCTCCTGCCCAAGTGCACACAGGAGCACAAAAACCCCCACCTGCCTGGTCTTGCTCTCTGGGTTTCAGCCTCGGTGAGAGGTGTGGTATGGTGGGGAAGGGGGGAAACATAGCACAAAGTTCAAGTGGAAATTTACAGTCCCTGTGGTTTTTTAAAAATGTGTTGGCTTATTTACGGGACTCGAGATAATTGTGCATTGATCTTAGAAAAATGACCCTGCTGTTCACTTTGGTCACCACTTTATTCCCAAGAAGACCATGAATACTGTGGTTTCTGATTTTGATGTTTGTTTTTTTTAAACACAGAACACAATCCATCTTTTTGGTTTTTTTCTAATTAAAATTCCAATAAATATCTACCAGGTGAGAATTCCTAGCACAATGTGGGTGTCTTTTAGAATCCAGCTATTCGATAGGTTTGAGCCCTAAATGAGCGCCCTCGCCAAGGCGACACTATATGTGCACTGGGTTGGGGAGCCTCCTGTTCTCTGGATAAGAATTGCCAGCTAACTGCCCTCTTGTGTCCCCGGACACTGTTGAGGGCCTGCATGGGAGAAACTGGTGTATTTTGTTCCTGTTGAAAGCCATTTCTTCCCATCTCCCTTCTTCCTGTGGTCTTTGTGTTCGTGCATCTTGAATATTGACTTATTTTTATATACGGGGGCTGAGTTTCAGTTCAGAACTCTTTTCTAACTCTGGTAAACGGCCCTCTGCTTTTTGTTTGACCTAAAAAAAAAAATGCTAGAAGGGACTTTTGTGTTGTCATATTTTAAAATTATGGAAGCTGGGTAAATTTCAGTGACTGATACTTGTAGTAGGTAAACCATTCTACGTTAGTGTGAAGTAGCACTGTAAGGTGTTAACAGAAGGCTGCATTTTCTGCACAAAGAAGCCGGCTACAGTGGGTAGAAGATCGAGCCTCCCGTTCTGATAGGCCCCGTATACACATGAGCCCCTGAGACACCTCCCCAGGCTCCAGGGACTCCAGGAATCCATTTCTCAAATAACTGGATTAAGCAATTAGAGTTTGCTCCGTGGGTTGTCAAACGTTTGTGTAAAGAACCAGATGGTGAAAATGTTAGATTTTGCCGGCCATAGCAACGCCTGCTGAGACGAAATAGTTTCTGCAGCAGCTGTTTAATTCTGCCCTTAAACCTAAATGCGACCCTAGACCATCTGTAAACAAACATGGCCAGGTTCTAATACAATCTTATTGTCACTGGTGTTTGAATTATATACGGGGGTTATATCATGAGATTGTTTAATTTTTCCCCCTCTGCAACCTGCTAAAAACGTATTAACGGTTCTTACCTGGCGGGCTCTACAGAAACAGGTAGCGGGCTGGGGTTGGCTGCCAGCTTGTAGGTTACTGGCCCCCAGTTTGGTTTGTAGCCCTAGAAACACCAGTGCTCGTGGGGAAGTGCCTCTTTGAAACCGGGGGCAGGTCGCAGGCTGGGAGAGAAGAGGCCCGGCTCGGTGATCTGTCATATACGGTGTTGTCTCACTCACCCAGGCTCTGAGTTCTCCCGTTTCCTGTTCTGATCATTTGCTAAGGGTGGAGCTTTTCGGGCTGGCCTCCAGTGGCCGCGGCGGGCTTCCCTGGAATTGGTGTCCACCATCCAAGATGCGCTCTAGGGATTTGGGACACGGGAGGGAGGACTTGGAGGGACCCCTGGGCTGGGAGAAACCTCTGGACTATGGCGGGGACTGACGGCAGTGTGTGTGGCAGGCAGTGTGCCGGGGATCCCCCAGGGAAGGGAGCCACGGATGAGGCTGAGCCGGACCAGGGAGGCTTTGCATACCAGTAGACGTTGGGCGAGCAGAGAGGCAGGATTTGAGCGTCGTGTTCAGAGCATGGCAGTGAGGTCAGCCGAGCGTGTGATTGGGTATCATTAGAGGGGACGGGAGGCCAGGTGGGAGACGGTGCTCGTGGCGGCTCTCAGAGGACCCAGATTAGGCCAGTGGGTGGGATGAGGGCCAGGGAGCAAATGAAGGGAGCGTCCAGGAGAGAGAAGCAGGGCCTCCCCACGTTTGGACACAGTGGGGATCGGAACTCCAAGGTGGCGGGCGCAGCGCAGCGTGGTGGCCAGGACCACGGGCTCTGGAGTCAGACGGCCTAGGCTCACATCCCAGCCTCATCCGTGCCGCTTCTGTGACCATGGCCAGGTTCCCAGGCTCGTGGGCTCCGTCGTCCCGTAAAATGAGTCTCGGGACCCCGTGGAGTAATGCGTGTAAAGGTAAAGTGCTCAGTGCAGCACCTGATGGGTGTGAGATGCTCCGTAAACACCTGTGATGGCAATCCTTCCCACTTCACCCATGAGCGGGAGCGGGAGGCGGTGACGCTTTCTGCTTCAGCCTCCTCCACGCACCATGACGAGGAGGTTCAAAACCTCCCTGCTGACTTATTCTTCTGTTAACCCCTTGCCATTTGAGGGTCAAATTTATATTGGCAAGTTGGTCAGCAAAAACCTGTGATTATCTCTCTGAGAGGATATCCCTACTCACCAGAATGCTCTCTGCTTCTAGAAGCTGTCATGCATGTTCTGAAATGGCTCCCTGAAGATGGGCTTTAAAGCAGGTCTGATGCAAGCAAGCATTTGGAAAGAGACCGCTGTTTCTGTACAGTGATGCTTCCACGTAATTCCGTCCTGAAGCAGTTGTCAGGCCTCAGCAGCTGGGGGAGAAAACCACATCCAGCGCTGAAAGATGGTTCCTGGGCTGCGTTTCTTCATGCACGGGTGGCTTGTGAAACAATCTGCCCTTAGGGACGTGTACTTCCCCGTAGATCCTACTCAGGACTGAGAACATCACTGTCTGCAAAGGCTGCAGGCTGTTGACAGACAGACAGACTGCAGACCTCTGCCTCTGTCTTATTGCTTAATTTCAAGTAGCACACGTTCCTTCCTCCCCTAAATCGAGGACGGAAGTTCTGGTCCCTCTTCTGTCCACTGTCCCGTGGAAGCTCATCCCTGACTCTGAGCCGGGCTTTTCTGGGTTAGCACTCAGGGCAGGCAGGTGTCCCCATAGCTCATTGGTGAAGGGCCTGGAGCCATGAGGGCACAGAACTACAACCCTCCCGCCCCCCCCCCCCCCCCCCCCCCCCCCCCCCCCCCCCCCCCCCCGCCATGACTTATGACACGCAGGCTGGGTTGTGGGAGTCGTGAAGGGAGCAGAAGTGGCTTCAAAAGCTACACCTCAGCCAGCAGACAGCGAAGGCTGATGCGCTGTCTTGCCGCGGCAGAGTCACCAGCTCCCATAGGGGACCAAGTAGTCTTCTTGCTTGGTGACCTGAAAGCCAGCTGTAGCATGAGCGGGTCCTCTTTGGGGGCTTCCGGACTAGATAAGGCCTGTCTCTTGGGCTTGTAGACTCTGGAGCTTGGATGGAGCCCGATGATCTCCTGAACGCTTGTTTCCCAGATCGGGAGCTGTGGCGGCTGGGGTGGAGCAGGAACATTCCCCACGCGGTGACGTGGCCCTGGGACGCCATACGGGCTGCAGCTCACCTCCTGCACCTTTTTTTTTTTTTTTTAAGGTTTATTTATTTTTGTGACAGTGTAAGCTGGGAGGGGCAGAGAGAGAGGGAGACACAGAATCCGAAGCAGGCTCCAGGCTCTGAGCTGTCAGCACACAGCCCAGTGCGGCACTAGAACTCACACATGGTGAGATCATGACCTGAGCCAAAGTTGGACACTTAACCGGCTGAGCCACCCAACAGCCCCTGGTCACCTCTTCTTCAGGGGAAGTTTGGGATCCTGATGGTACCCTGTTCCCCCAGTCTCTGGCTGGGAGACTATGGTGGCAAAGCCTGCTTGTCTCATCAGGCTTCCAGCACCTTCCACAGAGGCCCTGGTAAGGTTTACTCAGGCATATTTCTCTCTACTAGGGTCCTCTGGCTTGAGCAGAAAAGGAATTAGTTGGATCAATATTGGGATAGTGACAGATTCTCAAGAAGTCTGAAAGGGACAGGACACAACCGCCCAGAGGTCTGGATGGCAGGGACGTGTCACAGCCTTTGGGTCACCTCCAAGGGAGTGAGTGTATGGGCTTTGTCTCCTGCACCCCTGCATCATTTCATTCAGGATTCACCCCCTTGGTTGCGGGGAGCCTGGTTCCTCTAAACGGGTAAAATCGCCCCCTAAGAAAGCACACGGCGACTGAGCGCCTAGGAGCCAAGAGGACGAGGAAAGGCTGTTAGGGTCGTAGCAATGGTGTGATTTGCTGACACCCTGAGGTGGACCGTCTCCATCCCCGACGCCGCCACCAGCCTAGTGCGAACGCCAACGGGAAGGAAGCGGGCTCCTCAGTTTGTGTCCTCCTGCTGCGTTCTCCAGGCGGCCCAGCAGGGGGCAGGGGAGGCACGGGGCTGATCTGACCGGGAACTGGTTCCTGATCCAGGGTGAGCAGAGTGAGGAAGTAGAGGGTGGGCTCTGCTGGGAGCATTGAAGGGGAGGCAAGAAGCAGATTTGGGGCAAGAGAAAAAGTGACCTGGAGGTGCCACACTCCAGATCCTTGGCAGGGGGCCTCTGGAGCTGAATACTCGCTCTGCTGCTGTAGCCCCCGGCCTCTCCTGTGCCACGCGGGGAAGCCGGGGTGTTCGGGGCAGGAGGAGTCCTCCCGCCTGCACAGCTTTCCTAGCCTTCCTTTTTACCTTCAGTTTCCTGTCTGGGGAAGCCATCACTAGCCTTCAGGGTTCCAGTGCAGTGCGGCCTGTTCAGAGGTCGGTTAGAGCCTTCCCCCAGCCCCAGGGGGTAGTGGAAAGAGCCCTGGCCTTGGAGCCGGGAGACGTTGGTTTATGTTCTAGCTCTGCTTCTTGGTTTCTGAACAAGACGGGGCCTCTCTGAACCTCAGTGTCTTCTTCTGTAAAGCAGAGATAACGTACCCACCTCCCCTTCGAGCACATGGTGAATGCCAAGGGAATAGTGGCTGCCCCTGGATCTTTAAGTGACTGGGCACTGGGTTGTTAGGTCACCTTGGAGTTAGAGGTAGGTGTTGAAATCAGTGGTGTCGATGGACTTTGCCATATTCTCTGTAAGAGATCTCGAATGCGTCTCTGTGGCCTGGAAGCGAAATGCTGTAACTCCCCTGAGATTCCGTTTGGTCCACATTTGACTTTGCTTCTTTCCCTGTGCTCCACTTCCTCCTTTCCTCAAGCCCCGTTTCGTTCCCAGCCGTGCACGTTGGGAGGAGCGTGCATGGGGCTGCATCACTGCTCTGGTCTCTTCTTGTTTCCCAGGTTGCGCTTCTGGACATTGACATCTGTGGGCCGTCAATCCCCAAGATGATGGGGTTGGAAGGAGAGCAGGTAACAACGGGGTGCAGACACATGGGGCAGAGCCGGGTGTCTCCACGGGGCCGGCCTGACACCAGGTGGACGCTCCCTGGGCCGTCTGCCTCACCGACGGCTGTGAGCGTGGGGGTTGGGCTTGTACGTGAAGTTCACCCACGCCCTTTGAGAAGCGGTAGTTTCAGTGCCTTCTTCGAGGGGAAGGGAAACACAAGTGAAATGCAGAAGTAGGACACGGAAACTGGGCCCTGCCTGGGAAAGACCGGCTGCGCTTTGCCAGGGGCCTGTACCCTGGAAACAAGGGAATGTTTTTGCCCTTGTCACCCCTGGGGAACTGAGACTGCGAGGCGAGTGAGTGACATGGGGTGGGGGCAGGGCCTCAGCCCCACGGCCGTCTGCGGGTGCTAGTCTCTCCCTCCTCAGGGCGAGAAGCAGTCCCGGACAGCATCCCCCTCGAAGGCGGTGCGTGGAAACGGGGCTGGCGGGCAGGACGCCCCCAGCGTTAGGTTGGCTCATTCCCATGATGGCCGGGCGCTGCTGGGGGAGCTGGGGGACAGTGGTGAACAAGGCACGTGAAGACCCCGGCCCTGGTGGGAGGGGCGCTGACAGGTCATGGGAAATGAGAGCAGGGTAGGGGGGATGGGACGAGCGAGGGGAGCTGCTCCTTAGGAGGGTGTGGTCCGGGCACCCCTGCGGGGGAGGAGCCCTGGAGCAGAGTGTCTGTAGCATGAGGACTAGCGGCAGGGTGACGGGTGCCGGGGAGCTGGACACTAGCCAGGGGCAGGCAGGCCGGGCCCATGGGCGCTGCTCGGGGCTTGGCATTCGCCACCCAGGGTGCCCTGGGAGGGGGGCGTGATGCCGTGCAGGGCAGAGGCACAGCCTCGGGTCTGGCACGCGCGCTCCCGTGCGTCTGTCCCCTGCCTCCTGGCACGCGCCCACGGCACGGCTCTGCTGGCCTGTTGGTCACGTCCTCTCGGCACTGACAGTCCCCGTGTGGGAGGACTTTGTAGAAACCCTAACATGGTGAGCTCAAATAGGAGTTCCGCCGTCTGCTTCTCTTCCGCTGCGGGGTTATTCCGTTTTTCACCCCCTTTCAAGCCTGCCGTTGTGGAGAATGAGCTTAAGTAGGAATGGAGGGTTTTTTTTCTTTTTGTTTCTGTTTTTTGTTTTCTGACTAAGACCTGGGGGAAATAGGTGGAGGGGACTCAGAGCACCCCTGTTGGGAGGAGCAGAGTCACCGATGGAACTGTAGAGTCACTGTGTCGTGCCCCTGAAGTCATACAACAGTGCGTGTGAACCGGGATTTAAAAAAAACTAGAAAACCTCAAAGCCAGTCCCCAGAGACCACCTCGTGTATGATGGCCTGTGTGTGAAATGTCCAGAACAGGCACATCTGTAGAGACGGGGTGGGGGGGGAATGGGGGCGACCGCTGAGGGGTGATGAGAATGCTCTGAAACTGAGTGCCGGGGGCCCAGCTGCTGTGAGTGCCCCGAAAGCCACTGCGTTGGTGGCTGCGGAGCCTGGTGTGGGAGTGAGACCTCCGGAGAGCGTTGCGACAGTCAGGCCGTTGGTGGCGCCGGAACATGGCTGCTCAGACCGCTGTGTAGCCGCAAGCGAGGAAGCTCTGCTTTCACGAGGAGCGGTGTTGAACACTGACTAACGAACAGCTCCTGGAAGGACAGTCCCCATCTTGAAGTGGCCCCGTGAGCTTCTTATAGACATCCCCCCGTCGCCCCCCCATCACCCCCCCCATCCTTGTGCCCCTCGGGCTGACCCTCTGGCCGCTGACTGGGCAGGGTCTGTGTCGCCGCTTTCACCGAAGCACATACCTTCACACCTGGACTGCTACAGAGATGGCCTTGCCGGGCCACGGTCGCCTGCACGTCCTCACAACCCCCGCCTGATTGGGGTCACACCTATAAAATACCTTAGACCCCAGGTTCTATTGGAATGTGGCTAAGTCTGGTTCCCTGATGAGATCTAACCGCCCAGGGTTTCAGAATAACCCAATTCAGGGAGGTGGGGGGGCGGGTACAGCTTCCGTGGTCCATGGCCTCTCCCTACTGTTCACTCTCTAGTAAGGATTGCGTTTGCATTTAAGACAATGAATTGTGCTGTATGAAGTTCTTTTCTTAGTGTGTAAATCGGTGTGTGGGAGAAGTGTGTTCGGGCCTTCTTTTCTTACACGTGTCCATATTCCTGTAGGTTCACCAGAGTGGCTCTGGCTGGTCTCCAGTGGTGAGTTTGTTTTGTTTTTCAGTGTTTGTTTTTGAGAGAGAGACGGACAGAGCATGAGCCAGGGAGGGAAAGATGGAGGGAGACACAGAATCCGAAGCAGGTTCCAGGCTCTGAGCTGTCAGCACAGAGCCCGATGCAGGGCTTGAACTCCTAAACTCTGAGATCATGACCTGAGCCAAAGTCGGATGCTCAGCCGGCTGAGCCACCTGGTGCCCCATTACTGCTGTGCCTTATCTTTAGGGTAGTATGTACATAACGGATGTGGGTTGGGCTGGCAGCACTTACCTCAACCCAACTATCAGTGAACAAAGACTTGCTGAGGTCCTGTTTTAGGGGCCGGAAATACAGCACACTGTTTCTACAAAGGTTCAGATAGTAAACCTGTCAGTTGACAGGCCACACCCACCCACTGTTGTAGTGTGAGAGTAAGGAGATGTGAGGATGGCTGTGGTTGTATTCCAATAAACTTTACGTGCACAGCCACAAGGTGGGCCACGTTTGGCCTGGGAACCATGGTCTGCCAGCCCAGGCGAGAGCAGCTAGAGCCCCGGGGTACCTCCGTCAAGTCCCCCCAATGTGGCAGCACTTCGTCCCCCCTCCCCCAAAATGATCTGTGGCTTTAAAGAATGCATTGACCCAAGGTGCCTGGCCGGCCGTCAGTAAGCGCCTGACTCTTGGTTTCGGCTCAGGGGATGAGCTCATGGTTTGTGAGGTCAGGCTCCTTGCTGACCCTGCAGAGCCTACCTGGGATTCTCTCTTTCCCCCTCTCTCTCTGTCCCTCCCTTGCACGCGGGCTCTTCTCTCTCTGTCCCAAAATAAATAATTAAAAACAAAAATGAATAGACCCATAAATCATACGGTCATTGAGTTCCCAAAAGTGAGTTTTTTCATTTTGAGCTCAAGTAAACGACCAGGAAGTGCCTTGTGCTGTGGTTTTAAATGTTTCTTGCTTCATCCTGTCTAGTTCTTGGAAGACAACCTCGGGGTGATGTCGGTGGGTTTCTTGCTCAGCAGTCCTGACGACGCCGTTATCTGGAGGGGACCGAAGAAAAATGGTTTGCCACCCTGCTTTATCTCTCGGCTCAGCACTTGGCCGGGTCGAACGGCCCTAGGTTTCCTCTGCAGCCCGTCGGTCACGACGGCAGCTGGCAGCTGCAGGGCTCTGGCGCAGTATCGCTTGTGGGCATTGGGTTGCCTAACACGGTTGCCTGTATTGTTGCCTTCACCGGCTGAAGAGAGCCCGCTGGTGTGGTTCAGGTTTTAACATCTTTGATGAGTCTTTTCTCTCTGACACCCCTGTAACTCTGAAGTTACTTTTGCTGTGGTTTGATAGTAGTTTATTGATGCCCAGGAAGCGTGTGGGGTGGAGTCATAGCAAGCCGATCAGGCCACCGAGGCTCAAGGTAACAGTGCAAAGTAGCTTTTAGGACAGGGTTCCTCAGCCTTGGCACCAGTGACTTCCAGGGCCAGGAGGGTTCTTTGTGAGGGGAGGGGTGGACTGTGCTCCGCACTGTAGGGTGCAGCGCCCCGGCCTTGACCTGCTCGATGCCAGTGGCACCCCCACCCCAGTCGTGACAGCCAGAAGTGCCCCCAGGTGTGGGCAGGCGCCCCCGATTCAGAACGCAGAGCGAGCGCAGCCGCTGCTGTAGGGCCATGAGTAGAGGAAAGAGCGAGGAGGCCTCACTGGAGTCTGTCTGCAGGCATGATCAAGCAGTTCCTTCGGGACGTGGACTGGGGCGAGGTCGACTACCTCATCGTGGACACCCCGCCGGGCACGTCGGACGAGCACCTCTCGGCCGTCCAGTACCTGGCGGCGGCGCGCATCGACGGGGCCGTCATCGTCACCACTCCTCAGGTGAGCGGGTGCCCGTGCGGGGCCGGCTCCGTGCTGTGCCGCGTTCTCGTGCTGCCTCGACCCCCTTTTCTCGGAGCTCCTCCGAGCACAGGCTCCCGCAGTCCTCAGTTCGGATCCGCGGGAACTTGTTAAATGCTTGATGCGTCGTCCTGACGTTTGGGTGAACAAAATAAGCCGTCTGCAGTTAGGCCCACAATCGCCTCGTAAGTGTCCTTCACCAGGCCAGCACGCCCCCGGTGCTGTTGGCCTTCAGCCTGTCCCTCGCGGTCGCCTCCCTGTTTCTGCGCTCCCTCTGCTGCCCCCTGTAGGGCTTCCACGCGCATTTCCGACCCATTCAGGAAAGGTGGTTTTCCGTAGAGCCAGCCTGGGGCATAGAAAGGGTTCTGGGCACGCTGCTGTGGTCCTTGCCCCTTCCTGAGCAACGCCCGGGTCCCTGTGTCCCAGTCCCCCACGGGCTGTGCGGAGCCCAGACTGAGGGAGAGCAGTGGCGGCGGCCGGGTAAACCCGGCAGTGCCCAGACACGGTCCGGCCTGCGATGGCTGTGTCATTGCTGTCCTCGCTCTCCCACGGTCCCGAGGAAGCAGTTACCCTTTCCACAGTTCTCTCCTCGACTCCTGAGAAAGCACAACGGAGTAGGTTTTCGTCCATGAGTCCGTCAGTACAGCCCCTCGTCCTCCACCAAGGCTGCACTGAGCACCACCTCCCAGCGGGCCCCGGGCCAGGCACCAGCGACGGAAAAGCCGGTCCTCCCTCCGGGCCTGTGCGGTTCGCAGAGGAACTCGGTACCAGTCGCGGTGTGTCCACTGTGCTCCGACAACCGAGCGGGACCAGCACGGCACGCCCCGTGGGGGTGCCCGGGGCAGGGCGTGGGTGATGGGATGCATGGGAGATACGGCTTTGGTGCCCGGTGTCGGGGGCTCCTGGGGGCGTGCGGAGGAGCAGGTACAGCCCTCGGGGCTGCGGGTGGGGAGCCCCTGGCCCAGGGGGCGGCCGTGGAGCGCGGATGGATTTGTCCTTAGCTGGGTGGTGGAATGTTCAGAGTGGTCGGGTCACACTCCAGACGGGCAGTGCTGTCAAGTATGGGTCCAGAACCAGTTACCAAAAAGGAAAACAGTCCCCTGGGAACTCAGCACCCTGCCGTGGGGAGGTGAGAGGGGAGCGGGCGCAGGGGCCGGACGCACTCTTCCCCTTCAGTGTTGCTGTGAACCGCTCTGAACTCATCCGTGGAGAAACAGCAATCCAGGTTGCATCAAGGTGGCTTCTTCAGGGCCGCCTGGGTGGCTCTGTCCGTTGAGTGACTTCGGCTCCGGTTCAGGAGTGTGAGCCCCACCTTGGGCTCTCTGCTGTCAGCTCAGCCTGCTCCGGATCCTCTGTCCCCTTCTCTGCTACCACCCCACTCAGGCTCACCCTCTCAAAAATGAAGAAACAATAAAAAAAAAAAAGGCACAGCAACCTTTACTGTGAAGGAGCACAGATTTCCCCTTGGGCTCCAGGAGAGGGAGAGCGAGGAGAAGCTGGCCCTCCTCCAGGAGGCGGCGGGAGGATGCTCCCCGCGCCCTTCTTGTAGAACTTAGGGGGAAAGTGGGACTTGACAGTAGGGTCTCCCACTGTCACAGCCGCTGTCACAGGCCTGAGGCTCTCTTCTGGGGGTCCCTTTTGACAGAGCAGTGCCACCACCGAGAGACTCCCAGAGGCACAAGCAGGTGTGGAGGCTGACACAGCTGACTTGCTCCCTGAATGGCTTTTTGTCCCTACCTCTGTGTCAGGGCGCCTGAGCACCAAAGATGCGCTCGGGAGAGCGAGGCCGTGTGCACAGTACCGCGGTGCATGTCGAGAGGGTGCTGAGCAAGGACTGCACACAGTACTCATGCTGTCAGAGCTTTCAGAGTTGAGAAGTGAATTCCATCTAAATACAGCAACGTGCTTTCTTTCCTTCTTGTCCAGAGTTGTGTTCCTCACAGTCTAGATCAGAGGTCAGCCAACTATTTTCCACATAAAAGGCCAGGTAGTGAATACTTTAGGCTTTATGGCTCCTATGGCCTCTGTCCCCCGCCCCAAGCACTGGGGACGAAAGCCGCCTGATGAGATGTGAAGGGACGGGCGTGGCTGTGTCTGGAAGTTTACAGAAATAGGCAGGCAGCTAGGTCGGTCCCGCAGGCCACACTGGCTGTGTCCCTGACCTAGACAGTCGTGTGCAGTAGTGTGTCAATGTGAAAACAGAACACTCAGCCGTTGTACAAGGTTATTTTTCTGTATGTTCGTTTTACGTTTACCACGTGGCCGTGGAGGTTTATCCTTTGGGGCATGTGGGAGTTGCGCCCGGATAGGCCCGAGCCCACAGTCAGCACCGAGTGCTTAGAACGCGCGGGGCTCCCTGGTGCCGCATCCACTGCGTCGCTGCCGCCCCTGCAACCACACGGTCTGCCTGCCCTTGGACTTTGCCATGAATGGCCTTTTGAACCTTCACAGGAGGTGTCCCTCCAGGACGTGCGCAAAGAAATCAACTTCTGCCGCAAGGTGAAGCTGCCCGTCATCGGAGTGGTGGAGAACATGAGCGTCTTCGTCTGCCCCAAGTGCAAGGTGCGTGCGCCAGCCCGTGTGGCCCACAGCCCGGCCCGCCCCTTCCTCGTGGTGGAGCAGAGCCAGAGGGGGGCCTCGGGGATGTGGCGTCTGCTTTCCCCGTCATTTTGGGAAACGGGATGACACACACACAATGTTGCTGACTTCAGGAAAGTTCTCTGGGGTAGTGAATGTTTTGTATTCAAACAGACATTTTTCTTGAGTTGCTTGAAAATGCTCATTTTCCGGAAAGAAACTCCTAATTCTCCCCCTTTTAACTTGCCTTCCAGAAAGAGTCTCAGATATTCCCACCAACGACAGGGGGCGCGGAGCTGATGTGCCAGGATCTGAAGATCCCTCTCCTGGGAAAAGTGCCCCTGGACCCACACATAGGTGGGTGACTCGGAGTGCCGATCCCAGCTTTGTGTCGCCAGCTGCGGCCTTCACCCCCCACTCGGCCACCCTGGGGCCCGATGGGGCCACAGACGAAGGGCCCACCCGCAGGAGCTCCCCTCCAGCTGAGAAGCAGTAGACTGCGTGGCGTGGGGTGTGGTCAGGGGAGCCAGTAGACCTCCGTGTGAGGAAGGGGCTGGGTGGGGCCTGGGAGGTGGTGTCAGGACTGTCCTAGAGGCTGGGAAGCCACCAGAGTGGAATTCACCTGAGGAGAGGGGCCTGGAGGGGGACTGGGCAGGGTGTCCGGTGCGGTCCCGTCTCTGACAGGGAGGGATGAGGTTCTGAGGTGAAAGTCCTGGACAAGTTAGCCTTGAAAACCCCTTAGGAAGACATTCAGCTTCACGGGAGGCCCAGCACAGCCCGGAGGGCCATCTCAGCATGAGATGGGGGCATGAGGCTATTTTCAGGGGTCCTGTCGCAAGAAAAACTGTCCTCTTTAAAATTTTCTTGAAATTTTTTTTGAGAGGCAGAGAATGAGCGAGGGAGGGGCAGAGGGAGGGAGGGACACAGAATCCGATGCAGGCTCCAGGTCTGAGCTGTCGGCACAGAGCCTGATGCGGGGCTCGAACTCCCCAGTCGTGAGATCATGACGTGAGCTGGAGTCTGACACTTAATAAACTGAGCTACCAAGGCTCCCCCAAAATGCCCTGTTTTTAATGCCAGAGTCCCCTGGGTCCCCTCCAGGGGCAGTGAGCCTGGAGGAGGGGTGGTGGACCCACCCCCACTCCGTGTCCACTCTTGCTGAGGTGCATGGTGGGGAGGGGGGTCCACACCTTTTAAGTTCTACTTGCCTCCAGCTTTGTTTCCCCAGGGCCACAGCACTGAACTTGGTTAAGTTATGCCTCTGCCAGGCACAGGTGGCCGTAGCGTCTGCAGAGGGGCCTAGGCCTGAAGGCAGCAACGGGGGAAGGCAGGCTGAAGCCCAGGTGTGGATGGCTTTACATCCAAGCCCGGCAGCCGCGCCTTCAGGGGTGAGGACATGAGAATCAGAGATTGAGCAAGGGCACAGGGGTGAGTGTGGAGAGGGAGGCCTTCAGGCAGCCCTGCAGGGGAGTGGGGGGGGCGGGGTTAGGACTTGCCCCAGGGCTGGGCATTGCCATTGGAGAGGAAGAGCCACCCAGGAGAGGAAAGACGCAGGGTGGGGAGACGGGGCCAGTGTCCACGCCATCTGTCCTGGGCCTTGCGGGAGCAGTGACCCCCAGAGCCACTGTTGGGGGGAGGGGTGCATTCCCCCTCGTGTGCTGGGTCTCAGAGGCAGGGGTGGCTGGAGGTGTGTGCGCAGGCTCAGGCGAGGTGGGGACATGCCCAGCGGGGGGAGATTGAGGGGGCTGGAGGGAGAGTGGCCGAGCGCGTGGGGAGGTCACACGAGGGGTTGCACGTCGACAGGGCAGCTGTTATGAGAACCAAGCCAGTAGCCCGGGGCCTTCCCCCTGCTCTCCCTCCAGACACTGCCCTGCTATGTGGGCTCCCCCTGCAACACAGAAGAGGCCAGCTACTGTTCTCGGGAGGGTACAGACATGCAGGACAGGCAATCAGTTTGCAGTGACCAGATGAGCTGCTGAGCTGGCCTGGCTTCTCCCTCCGGCAGGAAGGGCAGGGCACAGCGCCTGCTGCAGGTCCCCACCTGCCGGGGCAGCGCAGGCAGCCATGTGGGGGACGGGCTGGGCAGGGGCTGCGGGCGCGCTTGCGTCTGTCGGCTTCTGCCTCTGCCACAGCTGGAGGTGGGGTCCCACAGATCACGAGCAGGGGCAGGGCGGGCCGCGGAGCCGTGGGAAGCTGGGCGAGGCCCGGAGAGCCCCACGCCCCCCTGTGCGTCCCGGCCCATGTGAGGGAGCGGGGCCGGGAGGCTGGGTGCCTGCCCGACGCGGGCTGTGGCCAGGCGGGTCGGGGTGGCCGCTTTTCACAATACAAGAGGTCGTGGCAAAGCAGAGGGGCCGCCACGCAGCCGCCGCTCAGGCCCCAGCTAAGAGCATGAAGTGCTTTCGAGGGCACAGTCCTTTGTGACCGGTTCCATGTGCCCAGGCCTCACTTCTGCTTGAAATCCCGAGGCCAGTGAGCGGGGAGAGGAAGGGTGGTGAGCAGCACGGCCGTACAGTGGAGAGAAGGACGAGGTGGTGAGGTCACCGCGGGAGCAGAGAGCAGAGGCAGATTCCCGGGCACAGACCTGAAGGGGTGAGGGCACACGCTCCAGCCTGGGTGGGGAGCCCGGAGGCGAGGTCACCTCCCTGGCGCTGGGATTCTAAGCCCTTCCCCAGCCTCAGGACCCTGCCCCACCACCGCGGGCTGGTGGTTCCAAGCCCCAACAGCCTCATCGGTGAGAGGCGATGGTGACAGTGCCCCCGGGAGGGGGAGGAATGACATGAGAGGACACGAGAGCGCCTCAGCAACTCGCTCTTCTGACAGTGTTGATCTTGGAGCACGGGGAGGGGAGGGGAGGGCCGGGCAGGGCCATCTGGGGCCCTCATCCCAGGGTAGCCCAGGCTTATCTGGGCTCCACTTCTGCCAACCTCCCCCTCCCCGTCTTGGCTCTCCCTGGCCTCAGTTTCCCTGTCTCAGGGGGCAGCGTCCTAGGAGAGGCGAGGGAGGGCCAGTTCCACAGCTGGCCTTGCCAGGGCCCACTTCTCCCAGCACCACGGCCCTGCCTCTCCCACGGTGCTGGGCAGGCGGACAGGGGCAGCCCAGGCTTGGGGGAGGGGAAAACACCTGCCCGGCGGGGTCCCTGCACTGTGGCCCCTGGATTCTGGCCGGACACGTCCTCGGCTCACCTGTGGGTCCTTGGGAGGCCGCTGGGAAAGCCCAGCAACCAGACAGACGCCAATGTGATAAAGCACCGGGTGGAACCCGTGTGCTCTATGTCCCTGTGCAGTTTGTGCGTTCCTCGGCTGTGCTCTGCGCTGGGGAGGTGGGCGCGGGGCTTCCGTGATGTCACAGGGCCAGAACGAATCCCCCAGTTCATCGTACCACTGCTGCCTCTTTTTTCCTTTTCATTTGTCTCCTGAAGGTAAGAGTTGCGACAAAGGACAGTCTTTTTTGATGGAGGCACCAGACTCGCCAGCTGCTGTAGCCTACAGAGGGATCATTCAGAGTACGTGTGCGCAGGGGTCCCGGGACTGCAGAGGGCTGTGGCGCGCCATGTGAGATCCCAGCGGGGGTCATCTGTGGGTCATTAGGGTCGGTGCCCTGCAGCCTCGGGTGGGGACTGTAGGGCCAGTAGGGGCTGGGATGAGCCTTCGGCCCAGGAAGCCAGGCGTCTGTGAGAAACCAGGTACTTAGGATCTGGGATGAATGCTGTTGAAGACACTGGGTGGAGCAGGATCAGGATGTCCAGGGGTCGGGCCGTCACCAGCCCACGCACGGCTGTCACAGCCTGACTCGTGGTCACTGCTTCTGTGGCTTCTCTTCCAGAAATCCAGGAGTTCTGTGGCCTCCATCAGCCACAACCAGAGCACCTGAGCGCTTCCTGAAACAGGACATGCCAGACGCAGGCCGCATGTGCAGTCCAGCCCGAGCAGCGTGGGGACAGAGTGGGGGTCACAGGCAGAAAGGGACCGGACTCTGGTAGGGCGTGAAGTCATCTTTGAGAGATGCTTTAATCATGATGTTTGTATACTTTTCGACATACATAAAGGCATTCTTTACAAATGTGCCATCTTAAAAATAAAAACCTCTGAGCTCTCCTCCGAGGCCTGCTTCTGGTACGAAGCCCGTGGCTTCCTGGTCGGGGAATTCTGCTCTGGCGGAAGCTGGTGCAGTTACAGGCCTTCGCGCTTAAGCCGCTGCCACCTCAGAAGTCAGGCCTGAAAAGGAAGCACAGGGAGGGACATGTGGCCTCATTGCAAAACCCACTCATGGTTTCAAACAGCGTCGTCCAAATGCTGCTCCGTCAGGAGGAGGGAGAAGTGAAAATAGTGCCCCCAGTCCTTGAAAAGCCCTAACTCCCCCGGGTAACAGAATGGTGTCTGGGTGTATTCCCTGTGCAGCAGTACGTGCACACTGTGCCCCTCACGGCCAGCGTCCTAGAGGACAGGGCTTCTTTCTAATCACGTGAAAGCAGAGACCCATGTCCACCCTCACGTTCGCCCACGGCCAGGAGCTGGACAGGGACGGACAGCAGCCAGGGAAGTTTTTCCGGCAGACGTGGGTGGGCAGATCCCTTGTTCTCTCCCTGCCCTTCTCTCGGGTCCTGCCCCACCCCCTGCAGGCCTGCACACACGGCAAGGTTTGTGCGTGATCTGTGTGAGGAAAGGGGGAGGGCAGGTCTGGCAAACCCCTGCGGGCGCAGGCTGGCTCCCACCTGGCTGTGTGCCCAGGCCCCCCCCCCCCCCATTGGTCGGGCCTCTTACCTAATGTTTGTGAATCTCCAGCCCCTCGAGGCCAGGCTTCTGGAAGTCCCTCGGGCTGGCCTACGAGGGGAAAAGTCAGCTGTGGCTTGGCCCTCACACGTGAGGGGCCCGATTCTGCTGATTCAGGGGCCAGAGCAAACCCGCCATGTAACCAAAAGCCCACAGCGCTTGTTGCTCAGTGTCTTGACAGAAAGCAGCGTTGGTCAGATTTTTAAGACGGTTCAATCCATTTTAAGATGAACCTGATCAAATTGGAAAGATCACTCTCACTTGTAGAAATATAAGCAAAGTTAAAATATTTTTGTGTGGTGTTTTTTTGTGCTCCTGACGGGGCAGCCGGACTGATAGAGACAATGTTAACATTGCAGTGGCCAGGGGGCCTCCGTCATTTCCAGCGTCTGGAGTGCGGGGTCCACGAGGAAGACGTGGGACTCACCATGGGGATCACTGCGTGGGACAGAAAACTGGCTGTGGCTTTGCTCCTGTCCCTCTCGCCTCCCATCTTACAAAGGATGTAGCCATAGAGGTTAGCAGCTTGCAGAGAGATCCCGGCTATCACGAGGGCCTGCGCTCACACAAAGCACATTCTTGGAAAAGCATATATTGAAACGTTCCCCCCCAAACCGCACAGAAGCGGCTCTGATCTGTACCTGGTTACACCCAGTCTTCACGGAGCGCTCACGTAATCACAGACACCTTTTTGTCACCAACAGCCCAAGAGGTTGGTGCCATTATTATCCCATTTTACAGGGAAGAAACTAAAGCCAGAGAAACCAAAGTTGCCCAAGTCCCAGCGCTGCTGCGTGGCCGGACCACATCCCAGCTCCAGGGCCCCTGCTTTTAACGACCACACGGTCCGTGGGCCTTTTGTTTTCCCAGCGAGGGAGCTACGTCACAGTAACAAGATCGTAAGGTCGCAACACTGAGGCGAGCTCACTGCCATCGGGGAAGGGCTCCACAGTAGGCAGGCCCTCACCCACACCTCCTCCCGGCAGGATGCACAGGAGTCCCAAAGTTACCGCGAAGGGCCCGCCGGGGAGGAGTGGGTACACTAAAAGAAGCGCGGCCACCCAGCGGGCATAAAAAGGGAGGGACGTACGGACAGTTGCTCTAGCACCCATGAACCTGGAAAATCCCACCTCAAGTGCAAGATCACAAGCGATCATGTTCTAGAGTTCCTGTTATAGCAAGTATCTGGAATAGGTAAGCCTCCTGGAACAAAGATGAACGAGGGGCAGGGCCAGGAGGGAGCGAGGTCTAAAAGATACAGGGGTTCCTTTGGGGTGATGAAAATACCCCAAAACTCACAGTGGCAACGACAGCCACGAGGAACCGGCCCGAATTGCACAGGCTCGATGGGCGAAACAGCCGGGCCGGGAAGGACCTCAGGATGCCCGATGATAACAACGAAACCCACTCCCACGGCCCCACCCTGCGATGCTGGAGCCCCGGCCGGGCTGCACGCCGCCTTACCAGCCACTTGAGCTTCAAGGAGAACAAGGTGCTGAAGAAGAACACGATCCAGATCACGGGGCAGATGATGAGGCCAAGCCAGAAGATGCGCGCCTCTGCCTCCGTGGCGGCGTGCTGGGGGGACGCCTGTGGGCGGGAGGGGTCCGTCTGCGAGAGGAGCGCGCACCTGGCCTCGCCTCTTCTTCTAGGGCACCTGCAGGGCCGGGGGCACGCAGGAGCGGGAAGCAGACCCGCGGAGCCTGGGGGGGAGCTGGCACATGCGTCCCCGGCACTCCCCCACCCCCCAGGGCTGGCCCAGAGCCGACAGTACCTTTCTGGCCTCGAAGATCCAGTGGCTCTTCCCATCTTCATCTATCTGGTTCCGCCAGTGGAGGCCCACCAGGAGTCTCCCGGTGATGTTCTGGGGGAGAGGGACACAGGACTCCAGGCTCCCATAAAGACGGGGTGGTCTTTTCACTGACCAAGGGAAGTACATTCATGTTGAACTTGTGCCCGGAGCAGGGCAGGGGGGACTGCAGCACGGCAGCTTCTCAGAATCAGTCGGAGGCTACTAATTTACTCCTCTGTTTACCTTTAAACATGACCCCCCCGCCGGCCCCCCAGCACCCCCCCCCAAAATACATACGTACTTTAAGTGTATGCCAAGTTTGCCGAAAACCCAAAGCCAGATGGAGCGTCCCTCTCCTAAGACATCCTTGCGGCCGTGACGGAAGGACCAGATCCATTTGTCACCTCTGAACGATGGATTCTAACTCGAATTTCAAGGACGTTGGCTCCGTGTGTATTTGCAGTTTCAACGAAAGTACCTCTTGGCTCAAACCACCACATGCGGCGGGAGTGTCCCTGTCGTTCCTTACCTTCACCGACCAGAAGTCGCAGGACAGGAGGAGCAGCACAGTGACGAAGCAGCCCACAAAGCTTCTGCTGAGCCAGTCGCAGCACACGTAGGTGACGATGGCGCTCACCCGGAAGAACAGGTGGAAGAAGGTGGCCAACGGGTGCCTGGGAAAGAGCCCCCAAGCCCCGTCACTGAGCGCACCCCGTGGGCTCTGACTTTGCGTGCCGTTCCTGGGGCGCCGCGGCCCAGCGCAGGCCCAGCGCTCCAACGTCCGTCAGTCCCCAGTCCCGGACAGTCATTCGTCTACTGGCACCTCTCCCCTCGAAGAATCCAGTACTTTCCCCTGAGTTCAAACATCCCTTGCTTTCCTCGAAACTTGGCCACCCTCTGAAGTGAAACAGGACGGTGGTCACTGCCTTCCCACCTGCAGAGAGAAGGACCAGTTCCCTAAAGGTAAAGGTTGGGTGATTCCACCAGTGACGGTGCAGTCCACGTGCAGCCCACGGGTGGGGTCTCGTGTCCTCGGGGAAGGTGGGGTCTTTGAGAGAAGAAAATCCAGACTCCGTCTGCGGCACTTCATAAAGAAAAGAGTCTGAAAGACCAGACACCTCGGGGTCGACTGAGGACAAGGGCCCCCTGTGCCCCCAGAGCAGAGGGAGCAAAGGCCTAGAGGGGTCAGGCAGGTGCGGGTGGTGGGGGACAGGGACCAGCCGGAAGACCGTCCTGGCCTCCGGTCGTTTTCTTGGGAATCCACTTTGATAGAGCATGGGGACAAACAAGCAGGGAAGACGGAGATGGCATCCATGTGAGCCCGACGGTGCCTGGCACTTAAAGCAGCAGCCGGGACTCTGGCCGGAGGGGCTGGTGGGCTGCCAGGCCCGGCTTTCGCACAAGGTGCCGGAACTTCACAGTTGCGATGGGAAAGTGTTTTTAAAGGACAGCGACTGGTAGTGTGAATAAGATACTGCAGCACGTGTTTCCCGTGGGCCCGGGAGCCTCCAACCGGCAGCCTCCAGGGAGTCAGAGAGGCAGTCGAGTCAGGGAGGTCCCTGCTCCTTTACAAGAAGGACCACGTGGAGGAAGCAAACTGGGTTCCTGTGTGATTGTGCAGTTTCTGACTCTTAAGGGAGTGGGAACGGATTCAGAAGCGTAATTTGTAGCCGCTTCTGCATGTGCCCCCCCATGTGCCCAAGGCAGACGGAGCGGTGCCACAACACCAGCCCGTCACCAGCACGTTTCTCCTCTGTACCTTTCAGATCCTGAGCTCTTCTGGGGGTCTGAGTGCAAGCCAGCCAGGGACGTGGACCCAGCCCTGGACAATCAGATGTTACCGTGAAGACTGTCCAGATCTGGAATGTTCCCAGAAAATAAGACCCTCAACAGTCTCTGACACCCTTTTAACCTTACATCTTTCTTTAAATGTTTGAGGGTGAGGGAGTGTGCATGGGTGACCGGGAGAGGGCCGGAAGGAGCGAGACTGAGGATCCGAAGCAGGCTCTGCGCAGTGTGGGCAGGGCCCGACCCGGGGCTCGAACGCACAAACCTGGAGATCATAACCTGAGCCGAAATCAAGAGTCCGATGCTTGACCGACTGAGCCCCCCACATGCCCCTAACCTTAAATCTTGAGCATCTCTTAACTCAGTGTCTTAATACACTCCCGCCTCCACGCCAAAGATAAAGAAGTCTTTCAAGAACTGAAACTTCATTCAGGGCAGGAAATCACGTCTGAGATCATTTTACACGCGTGATAGTATCTGGCATTTAAGATTCTCGGCAAATACTTGCTGGGCTGAGCCATGCAGTTGAGTCTATATTGTCCAACTGCATAGACCTGATGTGAGACCCAAACATGTCTGTGGATCTGGGGTAAAACCTGGAAGTTCACGCATTCGAATAAATCCCCTGCCCACCCTTTTTTTTCTTTTTTTTTTTTTTTGGGCTGTGGTTTCCTAAAATAAAACGCAGAAAAACTCCCATTGTTGGAAAGTTCTGCTTCGCTGGGTCCCAGTTAAATGCTTTCCTTAAGTTGTAATGGAAAGTACTATTATCGTGGCCACCGTCATTACTCAAAAGGCCCAGGTACAAAAGGCGGCCTCCTGCCCCCTCGCACAGCATGCTCATCCCGTCCGATGCAGGCAGTCCTCGGGGCGGCCCTGCACACCCTCCTTCGGTCCGCTGCTGAAGGTGGTCTAGCCCGTGTGCCCTGCCTCCCCTCACAGGGGAAGCTTCCAGCCCATGGCTTACACCTGTCCACCTTTCCCTGCTGGGAGGTTCCCCCGCCCCTCAGGGTTCTCTCTGCCACCTCCACGGCCACGGGGCACACACACGCCCTGACCGTCACCTCCGCCTCCCCATGCCACTGGCTGCCAACCCCACCCTCCCAGGCCCCCACCCGAGGGGCCCCCTGAGAGGCAACCAGGACCCAGGTGCCGGCCTGCCTGTGTTCAAATCCTGGCTCCATGGTCGGTGCAGCCTGGCGGCCCTCCCGCAGCCACGTGACCTCTACCCGCCCCAGTCTCCACTAGTGTAATGTGGGAATGCCAGCGCCGGCCGCTTCCTAGCTGTTACAAGATCAAGTGGAAGGTGGCACGTACAAAGTGCTTCACACACACACCGTGCTCAGTGACCGTGACCGGCTTACCTCAGCTCCCAGCCGCTCGAAACCTGTCCACCTCCAAGGAACTCGGCTGTGAAATTCCCCTCACGACCGCAACTTTCTCTCTCACTAGCCACGGGCAGACCTTCACCTCTGCAGGGATCCCCCGAGCCTCCTGACCTCTCCCTATCCGCCCCCATCCCTCCATTTCACTGAAGAACCCTCTTCCTTCCTCAGCGTGAACAGGTCATGCTTTCCACTCGGCACGCAACCCTTGCCCTGGTCAAGGGATGGGGGGGGCGGGGAGTGTTCATGGGCTGGTGTTTCGGGGTCTCCATTTTCAGAGATCTGTGCCCTACAGCTGCGGTCTCCCCCGTAGAGGAGATGCAGCAGGGGCTGCGCCTGGCCCGGCCCTGGGCAAGCCTGAAGGGGTGTGCCAGCCGCTACCCCCTCCCAGGGCAGGCGCATCAGACCTGGAGGGCGGCCGTGACCTCAAGTGCTACCAAGGGAAAGCGCTGCTGTCCGCGGGCCTCAGAGACCTGGCCTGTTTCTCTAAGTCAAGTTCTAGTGGATCACAGCCACGCTTGCGCGCCAGCCTGCAGAGCCGAAAACATGTACCCCGGCGGCATGCCAGCCTCCGCTCCAGCCCAGCGTCAACAAAGACGGCATTGCCATTCACAACCACCCAAAAGAGGGGTGCCTGGGGGGCTCTGTCAGCTGAACCTCTGACCCTTGATTTGGGCTCAAGTCAGAATCCCAGGGCCATGGGGTCAAGCCCTGCTGAGCACGGAGCCTACATAAGATCCCCCCCCAACCTTGAGAGAGCTCATGCTCTAAAATACGTAAAAGTGAAAAATAAATGTTAGAGCAAAACCAACCAAAATAAAGCAAATTGCTACTAATGCCTCCCCACCTCCACCAAAAATCTGCTTTCTGAAGCTGCGGGTTGGGAGCTGGCCGAAGGCAGAGCCCACGGATGGGGCTGGAAGTCGAGTATCATTTTCTCTGGGTGTGGCTGAGGGAGGGTGCGGAACACTCCTCAGCTCCATCTCATGGGCATACAGGTATCAAAGTTCAAACCAGGGCTCCTGGGAGGCCCAGCTGGTTAAGCATCCAACTTGAGCTCAGGACATGATCTCACGGTTCATGGGTTTGGGCCCCACATTGGGCTCTGTGCTGATGGCGTGGAGCCTGCCCAAAATTCTTTCTCTCTGGCTCTTTCTGCCCCTCCCCTGCTTGCTTTCTCTCTCTCCCTCAAAATAAATAAACTTTAAAAATAAGTTCAGGGTTGCCTGGGTGGCTCAGTCGGTTAAGTGTCCAACTTCAGCACAGGTCACGATCTCACGGTTTGTGGGTTTGAGCCCCGTGTCGGATTCTGTGCTGACAGCTCAGAGCCTGGAGCCTGCTTCAGATTCTGTGTCTCCCTCTCTCAGCCCCTCCCCTGCTCATGCTTTGTCTCTCTTAAAAATAAATATTAAAAAAAATTTTTTAAGAAAAATATTTAAAAAATTTCAAACCATCTACTTTAGTGTACTTTGTGTACATTACACCTTTAAAAAGTTTTGATTCAAGCTACCAAAGAGAAGTCTTTGCAAATCAGCCTACAAACTCTACTTGTGATATAGTCCAGCAAGCCCGCTGCTCAGTATTGACCCAAATGAGTTGACAACTTCAGTCCACGCCTACGACAGGACACAGACATTTACAGCAACTTCATGCATTGCTTCCCCCAAGTGGGAGCGACTCAAGACGTCCGTCCTCGACAGGTGAACAGATAAACTGTGGGTCCTGCCACACAGGGGAGTATTATTCAGAGCTAGAAAGAAATGAGCTCTCGGGCCACAAAAAGACAAAGAGGAACCTTAAATGCACATTACAAAGTGAAAGCAGCCAGTGTGAAAGGGCTGCTTACTGTAGGACTTAAGCACTAGGGACGTTCTGGGCAAAACTCAACTATGGACACAGTAAAAAAAAAAAAAAAAAAAAAAAAATTGCTAGGGGTTACGGGGGGTGGTGAGGGAGGGCTGAATAAGCAGAGCACAGGGGACCTTCAGGGCAGTGAAATACTGTGTACGACACAATGGTGGATACGGGTCATCACGTGTCCGTCAAAGCCTAGAAGATGGACAGCACCAGCACGAACCCGCGTGTAAACAAGGGCCCACGGGGTAACGCTGTGTCGGTCCATCATATGTAACACATCCAGGACACTACTGCCAGCTGTTAATGGGGAGCCTTGGGCTCGGGGAGGGCTTACCGGGACTCTGTACTTTCTACTCAGTTTTTCTGTAAACCTAAAACTGCTCTAAATGTCTAAAAATGGACACGGGTGGCGGTGGATGGGGGTTGGGGAGAGGCTGTGTCTAAACAAAGTAAAGAGTAAAATCGGGGGAGGTCCCACGAGGACATACGTCCCCTTTCACACTTTTTTATTTTAAGGTTTAAGAGAGAAAGACAGGGTGAGCAGAAGAGGGGGAGAGGGAGAATCCCAAGCAGGTTCCGGGCTATCAGTGCAAAGCCCGACAGGGGGCTCGATCTTACAAACCCGGAGATTGTGACCTGAGCCG